GGGAGCCCGATGTGGGGCTCGATCCCAGGACCCTGGGATCATGACCTGAGCCGAAGGCAGACGCTTAACGACTGAGCCACCCAGGCGCCCCGCCAAGTTTGTTATATACCTCCTCTCATAATGATGAGACAGCTTGGCCCTACAATTGTTCCTCCTTTGCAACTGAGCAAACTGAGGCACAGAGAGGTTCGGTAACTTGCCGAGGGAAGCTCACAGTGAGTCAGCAGTAGAGCCAGCCTTCAAGTCATGGCCACCAACACCATTTCACCCTCCTCTGTGGTACAGTGCCCCTTGCCCTTCCTCTGACCCCACCCCTGAGCCTGGGCTAGCCCGAGGAGGGTGGGGAGTCCTCTGCCCTGGCCCTTGTGTCACCTCCCCTGCTTCTTCCCCTCTGGCCAGCTGCAGAAGGTAGAGCTGAGAGAGGGCAGCTCTGTCGGCAGATGGCTTTTGGCTCACACCTGATTTCCTCTGACTGGACCGTAACACCTGGACGGCCCTCTCACCTGAGCCCCCACAGTGGCTCATTCAGGGGCTGTGGTCACCTTTCCCTTATTCTCAGGACATCCATACTCCTTTTGCAAAACCCGCCATAGGTTGGGGGTGGGGTGGGGGCAGGTAGGTCAAGGCTTGGAGCAGAAAGAGGAACCCAGGGGCTCAAGCAGGGCGAGTCATCACCGTGGAGTTGCCATGAGCTTGTGCTCATTGGTGCAATGTTTTCACGGAGGTGAGGAAGGGACGAGGACGGAGACACACTCAGCTCCCAGGAAAGAGGTGCTTCCCAGGAAAGAGCTCCCAGTGCTGCACGCATCCTCTGAAACTAAACAGACCCCAATTCTGTGACTTGCGGCTTCTTACAGCTCCTTATCCCCAAATTAAATATTGCAGTAACAAAAAGGTGTCAATAATTTATCTTCTAATAAAAGTATTTTTGAGGCCAGTCTGCTCACCCCTTCTAAAAAAAAAAAAAAAAGAGGAAGAAAAAATGAACTGTAGGATCAGAGTCTTCGAGACAGACCCAAGAGATGCTGGGAGAGAAACCAGGTGTGAAATGGAGAGGGAGGGGAGATTTGGGTCATTTCTTCATCTAGCCTCGCGAGAAGTGCTGCTGCAGGAATTATAGGAACAGAAGTCACTGAGAAATGCCAGGAGTTCGGCCACAGGACAGAGGCTAAGCGCCCGGGTGGCGTGGCAGGCCAGGGAGGGAGGGGACCGGGAGTGTGTGTTGGTTGCTGCGGGCAGGGCGCTGGCTCAGAGAGCATACTCAGGAGCGAGCCACACTCAGGGAGGAAGAGAGAGAAAGGGTTGGGAGCACTGAGGCAGGCAGCCTGCTGCAGAGGCTGATGAGTGTGGAAACCAATCCGGTTTTAGATGGAGATTGGGTTCCCCAGCTCTAAAGTGGGGCCAGCAATCCCTCCCACCAAGGGGTAGAGAGGATGAGCCCAGGGAACGCTGGGCACCTGCACGAATCCTGATGCACAGAGCCACCCGCTAAACGGTAGCCATGATTCCTGCCGAGAGCAGAGATTTTAGGAACCTTTGTGCAACTTCCTGTGTGTTCTGTGTGTGCCCCTCCCACCCATGTTTCCCCACAGTGATCGTGGTAAAGCTCTTGCAAATGAGAAATGTATGGGGAACTGCAAGGAAGAGGGAAGTAGGACCACTGCATCTGGTTGGTGGCTAGTTTAGGGGTGGGGAATCCCAAGGGAGGGCAGCAGCTTGGAGGAGGAGCAGAAAGTGGTGGAATGGCCGAGAAGTAATGGGGTCTCAGGCCCCTAAGATTCCTCTAAGAGATGTCACTGCTAAAGCCACCCTTTAGGCAATGTGGAGGACGGGCCAGAGAGGACCAGGAACCCTCCAATTAGGAACTGAGCTCACGGCCCTCCCACTCAGTAGATCATGGCGACAGGCCAGAATGTGGCAAATGTCCAAACAGGAAACAGCAAATTCAGGAGTCAGGCCTTTGCTTGATACTTAAATCCGGATGGTCTCACAACACCTAATCAAGCCGTAGGAGAAAGCACTGGTTGCCTTTGGCCTCCTGGTGACAAATGCCACCCCTTATACTTGTGAAATGCAGCCCGAGTTTCATTTAGCACTGGTTAAAACACCGGACTCACTGAGGCCTGGCCTGCAGGATACACACGATCATGCGGGCCTCCTGAGCCAACAGAAGGGGGATCCAGGGCGAGGGTGGCCCAGCCTGGGCTTGCTCCCCTTCCTCAAAGGGCATCTGCCAGAGGGGGCAGGGATGTTGTCTAGGGAAGCCTCTCCTTTGTGACTAGCTTCTCTGTCTGTATGTCCCCAGGTGCCCAGGAGCTGGTGCGGATGGACAGGTAAGGCCCCTGGAGATCTTCCCGAGAAAACTTCCTGTGGCCGCCCCGCCCCGACTCCAAGCTTGGCAGGCTCTCTCTCTTCTTGCCTCTCCCTGGGCCTGCGGCTCTGTCGGCCAATGTCTACACTCAGACCGCAGCTGGACTTAATGCAGAAGGGAGGGGGGTCGCTCTTTGCCTGGACTGACTCTCCTTCACCAGGCTCCTTGCCCCTCTCCCCGCGCTGATAACGTGTCCTGGGACAGGGCTCGGAACACAGACACGGCCTCCCAGGTCCTCCCCGGGCCGGGGTCAGCTGTCAGGAAGGAGGGCTGTGCAGGAGGCTCCCTGTACAGCCTCCAGGCACAACTGCTTTAGAAAAGCATCTGCCATCTGCACTGAGGCCTACATATCTGTGCTCTCCCTGCCGCCCCTCGCCCAGCGGGCCGAGCTCTGACACTGCGGGCCTGAGGCCAGCACCTTCCTTCAGGCCTCGGGGGCAGCTGGCCAGGGTGGGGGAGGAAGAGGAAGCAGCTGAACTGGGCACAGACACTGAAACATGCAAAGGAGGACGGCACACCTGGAGCCGTGGTCCCTCCCTGCAGAACACGCCAAGGAGAAAGTGGTCAGGCCGCCGTGGGCCACCGGGGCAGAGGTTGGCCAGGGGCTCCGAGTGGGGCAGCAGGCTGGGCGTGTGGTGGCCAGGGGAGTGTGTGTTGGTGGGCTCGGGGCAGGAAGCAGACGGGGCGCCTGGCACAGAGGGTGTCCTCAGGAATGAGCCCCACTCAGGAACTTGGCCCGGTTACTTTATCAGCAAAACCAGAGCTCCTCTTGGGTGTTTGAAAGGGACGATTTTCTAGACAGGTCAAAGGAAGTCCTGCCAGTGATCCTGCCGGGACTCAGAGCTGGCGGCAGGGGGTAGGTGGTCCCCCTCCCCAACAGGAAGAGGGAGAGAACTGCTCCCTGCAGCTTACGACAAGCTGTGGGGACATTCGATCCTAATGGCATCAGCTGAGAAACCTGTCGCAGGTTCCTGATCTGGGGTCCTCAAGGTGTCTCTGACCCCAGGCTTCCCAGCTGCGCTCAGGGCGGATGGCCAAATAATAGGGTGCAGCCCTGAGCTCAGGGGAGCTGGGAGAGTGAAGGCCATGCCCTTTTCTGACCCCGGCTCCTCCCTTCTTGCAGGAAGAGGGTGCTGAGGCCTGAGGTGTGAAGGCAGGGGAGGGGAGGGAAGCAGAGGAGTGGGGCAAGCAGGAGGGCAGAGGCCCAAACCTGGGCAGCACAACTGACTGAGCCAGCTCTCTTCTTCTAGCAACAACACACAAGGAGTCGAAAACCCCGGCTTTGAGGTCTCCCTGTCCTCCCAAGGCATGCCGGAGGCCAAACCCAGGTCTCCGCTGTCCTACATGGCTCAGCGGCAGCCTTCAGAGTCCGGGCGGCACCTGCTCTCTGAGCCCTGCACTCCTCTGTCGCCACCAGGCCCTGGCGATGTCTTCTTCCCAACTCTCGGTGAGTGCTTCCCAACAACCCTCACCCTCAGGGCACAACAGCCTGCAAGGTCATGACCTCCCTGTGGCCTGCAGGGCACCAGCCTCACTCCCCTTCTGAGGCCTTATAGCCTCCCCGTGTGGGTTTAGTGGGTGAAGGACCGCAGAGCCCCCCCCATTCATTCTACTTCACCTTTCTTTTGCAGACCCCGTGCCTGACTCTCCAAACTCTGAGGCCATCTAGACCAGCTGGGGCCAGCGGGCAACTGTGGCGGGGCCTGGGGCAGGTGCTTTGGAGGCAGAGCTGGCCCTCTGAGTGGTCCCTTAGCCGTGGCCCTGGCCCTGGTTTCCTCCCTCCTGCTCTGAGCCCAGACTCTTTGAGATACCTCTGATGGCCAGACCCTCAACTCCTCTGGGTGCTACATGGCAGAAGGGAGAAGGGGCTGGATTGCCCAGCCCCTGTCTCAAGGATGGTGGGGTGCTGGGATCCCGCCCCAGAGACCTGAACTTCACCAGCTACAAATGCCAAACGGTCTACATCCTAGAAGCTCAAGAGTTTCCAGCCTATGGCAGCTTCTCTCCCTGGGACATGAGCTTTGTGACCAAACAGCCCAGATGAGACAAGATGGGCACTGGACAGAACTCCTCTCCCCCCCGCCCCTTGTCCCCATCCAGTGCCATCCTGCCAGGCATGAGACACAGGAAAAGATGTGGAAAGACTCTCCCTCAGTGCGGTAGAGCCAGCGCCCTGATCTCGCCTGAGGCTGCTCATCGGTCCGACTCCCTCTCCGTGACCATGGAGCTCTGGGGCTGGTCCTGCCTGCCTGCCCCTGGGGCCACGAGAGCCTCTCCCAGCTGTCTGCTACCAGCAACCTCTCCCAGTAGCTGTCCACCGGTTAAGCAAACCTGGGCTCCCACTGCCTGCCCTCTGGGCCCCAGAGTTCACTGGCCAGGGTCCCCGAAACAGGAAGTGCACCCTGGGGCACAGTGGCCACTGTGGGCCAGCTGGCATCTTGGGCAATGGGGGCCAGGCAGAGGTTGTGCTACCTGCTGCAGAGGGCAGTGAGGGAGGGCAGGTGGAGCCTGCTGGGAAGGTGAGTGGAGAGGCTCCACCCCCACCCTCCCCCCTCCACACGCAGCGTGCTCAGGACAGAGGAGGACCACATACTGTATTGCCCCAACTGTGACCCTCCCTCCAGTGGAAAGAGGAGGTGCTATTAAACTCCACGGGCAACAAGTGCAAACCCTGGGAATGGACTGTAGGAGCTGGGTTTTAATTCCTGCTCTGCTTCCAGGGGTGCCTGAGGCCCAGGGAAGCCCCCATCTCCTCCTCCCCCCCCCCCCGCCCCGTCTTTGGTCTTCCATTCCATCTAATCTGTGTCAAGTCTTTACAGCAGAGTGACCCTGTCGGTGGGCGTGTACATAGAAGGGTCTGTGGCCTTCTGCTCTAGACCCTCTGCTCCAACTCCTGCTTCGGGGCATGTCCCGGATTTGTTTTTATACACCATATGCAAGGGAATCCTTTGTGGAATTTTGATTAAAGGGTTTTAAAAACACAGAGAGGAGTCAGGGGGCGGGGGCTCTGTACACTCTGGGGTGGAAGCGGGGGTGGGGGGGCCGAGAGGGGAAGGGGTGAGTTTGAGTGGCATAGGGCCCAGGCACTGCACCGAGGAGGGCGTTCAGCTCGGCAGCCTATGTGGCAGAGCCCCGACTTCAGGCCAGCGTAAGGGCCCAGCAGGCAGGGAGAACCCTCTGGATGGCCTGGGGAGGGGGGAGACAGGAGTTGGGGGTGGAAGAGAGCAGCTCTAGGCTCTCCGGCGGCAGTGAGCCGCCAGGCCTACGGCTAGAACCAGGGAGCCCCCCTGGATACACGGCATTGCTTCCACACTCCCCCGTCAGGCCCAAGGGCATGGGTCAGTGTGGGTGTCCTGCTATACTGGGAGGGGGAAGGCTTGAGGAAAGAGTGGGCCTGGGCCTTGAGACTGCACGGACACCTCCAGTGGCCAGGACACCAAAATCCTGGTTCCTGCTTTGTCCCTGGGGGTCCCTCTTCTATCCCATCTGTTGCCTGGACGCTGAGTGCAGGCTGCCACAGAGAGAGGGTGCTGTTCTAACAGCTCTTGGGGGCCCATGGCAGGGATGCGCAGGGTGACACTTGCTCAGAGCTGAGCTGGGCTACCCCTAGGATTGAAGGAAAAGCCCACAGACCAGACCTCCCCCATCCCCCAGCTCAGAAAGAGTGCTCCTGCCCTAGGGGGAGGCTGGCCTGGCCCAGCCCGCAGCTTCTGACCTCCAGGCAGATAGAATTTCTAAGAATTTGGCTGCCAGACCCCAAGCCTGGCTGTTGCTGTGTGGTGGGAGGGCAGGAGGGAGGGAGGAGGCCCCAGAGCAGAAAGCCACCCCACTTCCTCCCCAGCTTCCTCCTGCATGACCTTGAGCTCTTCTTCTCTGGACCCTTACAAGTGAACACATTGCAGCTTCGTGGTTTCCTGTTTTCAGTGAAATTTACTCTGAGCTCCAGGCTCCATCTTCATCCATGACCACACGCTCCGCCCCCAGAGGCCCCAAGGCATCCTCCCTGCTGCTACCGAGGAGGGGCAGGATGCCAAGGAGCCCTCCATGCTGGCCTGGGAGTGGTGATAGCCTCTGGAGGCGCCTGCCCTGGGGGCTGGTCCCTGTGGGCCCCAGCTCAGTGCCTGTGGGCTGGAGTGCACCGAATAGAGCAGGGGAGTGGGATCATCGTGCCTGCCTCTAATGGGGCTGGGAGGAACACTGGGGCCTCCAGAAAGTCAGCTGCCAGGCAGGATGGGGCTGAGGCAGGAGGCTGATGGATCACAGCACTGGCTGAGGCCCTCAGAAGGAAATCTGTGCTTTGAGGCACTAAGGTGTTGTGAAGAGATAGATCAGGAATTATAACAGCCATCATTCCTGTCATGTTCTCCCGATGTCCACATTTAATAAAGACAGCCTGCCTTTATTCCCTCCAAGGGAGAGGCTAAGGCAATGGAGTTCCCTTAGTTAGCCTCGCATGCCATGGGGACCACTGGAGATGCTACTGTTGGATCAGGCTGGCCCTGCCTGGGCGGGGGAGGGGTGTCTGTGACGAAGGGCCCTGGGGTGGGTATGCAGGAACGCGGGGGCCGAAGCACTGCCCTCTTCAGGGAGTGCTCTGTGGTGAGGGCCTCAGGGAGACATGGTGGAGAGATGACCTGCAGAGGTCCGGTCACTCTCCACCCCAGCTTGGGCACTGCCTCCCAGAAGGGGCCTTCCTGGGTGTCAGCTAAAGCACCCCAAGGCTGGTCTGTGATTTCTCAGGGAAGTCCAGGGGCACGGCAGTGGGCAGAAAGGGACTGGGGGTTGCCGGCCAGGACCCCAGGTGCAAAGACCTCTCGAGAAGTAGACACTCACAGCCCAGCTTCGTGGGGGGCCCAGCCCACACAGGGCACTGGCCACCTAGCCCTTCCACGGGGCACTCACTGGGCCTGCTTGGCACTGTTGCCTCTTTCCTGTACAGATGCTATGTCTCCCTAACTATGCCGGGAGTTCCCAAAGGGCGGTGGGTCCGATAACAGCCTGTCCTTTGGACCCAGTCGCAGAGCTGACAACTGAAGCATGGCCATGGGGTGATGCGTTGAACTGGGATGCCAGGGTCCTGTTCTCTGGGCCACTCACAGGGCCCCCCTCTGACTTTCCACCAGCTCTGTCTGTGCTTGGTGGGATCTCCCGAAGACAATAGGATGCCCTGAGCTTGTGCAGGCCAGGGGGGCAGAGGTTTCATTTTGTCTCGCAATTCTGATCTGGTGGCATGACTTCCTAAAATATATGTCGGGAGGGATTCTGAAGTAGCAACATAGCTTAATGAGAAAACGCTGCCATCAGCTAGCCGTGCGCCCCGGGCACGAGAGGGACAAGTGGCTGGTGGGCTATCGCTTGGCTTTTTCTGTTACAATGCTGTGTTTTCCAAAACACACGTTAACGTTATTGCTTTTTTGATTCTCCCTCCCCCACCAGAACACCCAGGGAGGCTTTACTGTGTCCATTTTATGCACAGAAAAACCAAGGCTCCAAAAGATTGGTGTCTTGTGACAAGAACTGAACGTGGAACTGGGACTAAGACTTGGGTCTTCTGCTTCTCAGGCCTGTGCTCCTTCATCTTCATCGAACTGAATGGCATCAGAGGCCAGGACTTGGACCTGCTTATAGCACACACCATGGCTGGGGGGTGGGGAGGGGCCGTGAACCTGGGCCCACAAGCCCAGGGCTCCATTTCTTTTGCATTGTTCTCGCCACTCCCCTTTCTGCCTGGCAGTGCTGAAGCCACAGGACCCCTTGTGCCCCCAACTTGCTTACCACGGGGGAGGGAAAGGAGAAGCTCTCAGCTGGCTGACCACGGAGCCCCAGGGTCTCTGGGAGGACCTGACAGGATGCATGCGCCACATTTGAGCAGTTGCAGAACAGCCCTCAGGACGCAAGACAAGGGAAGGATCTGAATGTCATCACGCTGGGCCGGAGAAGCCTGGCTTACTTGGTGTGCAGCACAGGGAAGGGGCCAGGCTGGGGTTTCCTGAGCTTGAGCCAGGGGAAGCAGGCTTCCTCAACAACAGCAGGGTCCAAGTTTAATACACAGAAGAGCTCTTGGCCCTAAAGATAGGAGGTCAGCTGCCAAGAGCAACGTCCCCAGCTCGCAGACTTTCTCCGCTGGCAACTCTTGGACCAGCAAGCGGGCGGTGGGTGACCTCTGTCCTTCTCCCTGGACAGGTGACTTCTGCAGGTCCCCACCAGCCTGAGATGCCAGAGCTGGTTGGCTGGGATTTTCTAACCTGCTGGCTGCGATTTGTGTGGCAGGGAAACCTCCCATCAGGCCCTCCCTCTCTCCATCCTCCTGCCAAGGTGCCTCTGTGGCTGGGGCTCAGCTCCTGACCTCCCAGTTGCCTTCCGTCCTTCCTCCCCCGGCCCGGCCCTTCCTCTTGAAGGGGCCTCCCTGACGGCCACTTAGACCCCTCCCCCCAGCCGGGCCTCCCTTGCCTGCGGCCTGGAGCTAGCCAGAGGGCAGAGGCTGTACAATGATTTCCCCTGGCTGGGTGGCACACTATTGTGTGACAGGCCTGGGTTGGTCCGGATGCCCCTTGCTGCACAGCTGTTCCTAGCTCTGGGTGATACAGGGCTAAAAGCTGGGTGGGACAGGAATGTACAGTTCTCAGGAAATTGGGGAAAGGGGGGCCAGGGTGAAATGAAGAGATAAGAGGGCTCAGATACAAGATTTCTCTTGGTGGCTGAATCCCAGGCCCCCTGCTAAGAGAGCTTCACTCCGTAAGTCACAGATGCAAATGATGGCTTTTCCAGAAAACCTTCCCTGGTTCCTGGCTCCAAGTTCCTGGCACTTTATCACATCAGAGTGGTAACTCTCTGTTACGTGTCCATCTCCCCTCTAGTGTGGGGGCTCCTTGAGGACAGGACTGTACCCAACTCATGTCTGACTTCCGAGCCTCTAGCACAGGCCGGGCACGTATTTGGTGTTGAATGAAAGGAGGAAAGAGGAAAGGAGGGACTCTTACTTGCCCCTGTGAGGCTGGTCCTGTGCCAGTGACGGCTGGCTTGGACCAGGCAGATAACTGTAGGTGGAAACAACAGGTCAGTGTGTGGGTCTGCCGGGCATCTCTGGACAGATACATGCAGGGTGGCATCCACCCATAAGACCATGGTGACCTTTCTTGGAACCTTGGGATGCTCCTCAGGACTCTGGCTGGAGCAGGAGGGCTTAAAACAACCCTATCCTCGAATACCCAACCAGTGAAATCTGCCCAACAGCAGGGAAGGGACCTCCTCTGGTCACCTCTGGCTTGGCCCTCAGTTTTGTGCTTGACCCTGGGGGTTCACCAGCTAGAGGGGAAGCAAATCTTCAGGGGTCCAGTGCTCCTTGGAGGCAGATGCCAATCATGGCTGGGCACTGGCTGCAGGGCCCTTGCTTGTGGCTTGTGCCCTGTCCTCACCCTGGCTCAGCTTGACAGGGAAGAAGTGGAGGGGGCACGCGAGAAAGTAGTGCAGTCAGCCCTTAGGGCAGACCCCAGAGACAATGTCACCGGAAGGATATATAGATAGAGAGCTGCACTCTCGGCTCTGAATGCTGCCACGGGCCTGAACTACGTGCAGCTCCTCAAACCCACCCCTGGTCTTTGCTTGATCTTAGGCCTTTGTTCAGGTGGATCTCTGGGTCCAGGATATGCTTTGTTGTGCTAACGATGACTGAGTGACAAGACAGCCCAGCTGTCACCTCCTCCAAGAAGCCTTCCCCAAGCCCTTGTTAGTGCTCCTCAATGCAGTCCCATCTGCACCTTGGCCCCTGTGCTTGGAGAGCCTCAGTGCCTTCCTTACTCGGAGGCCTTTTACTATGGCAGGGACCAACACTGTTTCCTCCCAGTATCCCTGGGGCCTGGCACATAGTGGGCATTCAGGGAACACTGTCTGCCTGAATGAATGAACGAACGAACGAACGACTGAATGAACGAACAAATATCCTCTAATGCTCAGTTCTCAACTATGCTCCCGTGGTCACTGCAA